TCTCCATCTTCTCTGCTTTGATTTTGAACATAGCATGCCCTTTGCTCTTGTGCACGGACAGGTTTTTTAACCTTGTTGAATCTGTTTCTTTATCTGGAAATTGAAATAAGTTTTTTCTTCCAAAGAAAAGTTACAGTAATTGGATAGAGCAATACATAGTAAAACAGTTTATATTAGTAATATTAATACTAAGGAATTGTTCTGACTCTTCTGTTTGCTCGCTGCATGCTTTCTGCCAGTGTGGTTTTCTCTTCACTTACCACTGACTGCTACTGTCTTGATTCATCTTCCTAAAGAATAACTTTTAGTTCACCTACCCCTTATTACTTTTCTCACATCTCACTGCCACTTGAATTAGTAACTTTAAAAATGCAGAAATAGGTTATATGTGTTCATGTGTTTCACTAATTTTAAAAATTCTTCCCCTTCTGCCCAGGTTTAAGTTCTGTCACAATGGTTAAGGATCTCTGGTCTGGTCCTTACCAGCTCATTATCCTCAACGAATGTTTGTTGAGGATATACCATGGGGGACTGGCACCTGTGTGGGGCCCTCTGGGTTTTCCAAGAATAGAGTATGAACTGAGCCTCAAGAGGCATTAAGGTTTAATAGGAGTCATCTAGGTTAAATTGTGGTAAGTTCTATGCTAGAAGACAGTTTTATAAGTCTTGTTAGAAAGAGGAAATGACTTAACAGTGTGCCTGGGAAAGAGGGGATATTGAAAAGAGATCTCACACAGAGGCAGAATAAAAGCTGAATTTAATTGTTCTGCAAGATTGAAGAAAGCCTATACTTCTTAACTGTTAAGCTATTTTGCTACGGGGGATAGAAATACAGAATCATTAAAAACCTTTAATAAGAGCATGAAGACATGAAAAATGCATCATGACATATTTAAGGAACATTAAACAGTGAAGGTTTGAAAGTAGTATTAACCCTCTACTGTTAGTCTGTGCTTCTCACGTCCTGAACAGGATTCTCAGATCATGTTTATGCTTGTGACTGTGCTGCTGTATTTTAAGCTATCAATCTCCTCTTTTACTGGGGGCCTCTCATCTGCTCTCTGGTCTTCGAAGCATGGTTTCTTCTTGTCTTCATTTCTCCCTCCAGCTACTCACTGTTGATTTTGTTTCCCCTCTGCTGCCTCATACTCTTTTTTTCCCTTTTTGTATCTGGCTACTCACATGATTGTCTTTCATCCTGTCTAATCAACTGGAATGTAGAGGCATTCTCTAAGGCATTTCACTTTCTCCCCCAAAAGGGAGATGTGTTTTCATTAATAACACACTTAAGTGGTGGCAGTCTCAGACAGGAAGATAAACATAGCACATTCCCTGCAAGCCTCTGGAACAATTCCTCAGTATCCATTATTTCCTGGGTATCAAGGTAAACCGATCTTTTTTTTAATGTCTTATTGAACACTCCCTCCCCAAATTGCCAAGGCAGATGGCCTGTTTCTAACTCACATCGTATGGAAGATCCTGGAAGGTGTTGCCTTTCCAGGGTCGCCTGGCTACTCCCTCTTTTTTCTGGCAGCTTTAGCAATTCATACTCCTATCCTCCAGCTCGTAGCCTAAGTTCAGATGATAGTACAGCAGAAAGTTCCCTGCCTATCTTCCTTCAGTAACAACTTCACATATATTTGTGTTTTACACCATCAGTGTCCAAGTCCCCTAAAGTAGAATGGATTTAAAATTAGAAAACAGTAGATTTAGTATTCAGCAAAACCTCACATCCAAAATTTTTAATTAAAGTGATATCATTGATAAATGTGATACTGTAATTTAGTCTTCAAATGGAAGTAGAGAAAGGGCTCGGAAGTAGTGAGCCTTTCTGCTTCAAGGCATCATCAGCCAGTAGTCGATTGCTGAGCTGTTGCTATGCAACAGGATCATTTTAGTTCATAGTGAGCTGCACTGCTAACCAAACGGCTTCTTGTCTCAGGGAATCAGAACTACCTTTGAAAGGTGGACAGTCTCTCCCTGTTAAGATTGACAACCTCAGAAACACGATGGAGGATCTTTATGAGTTGGAATTGACTGGACAGCAATCAAGAGAGTTGAGATAAGAATTTACACAGGAATAATTCATGAGTATTAGATTTCTGTCATGTGTGGTACTAGGAATATTGTTGCTGATGTTAGATGGATCTTAGCTGAAAGCAGAGAATACCAGAAGAATGTCTATCTGTGTTTCATTGATTATGCAAAGGCATTTGACTGTGTGGATCATAACAAACTGTGGCTGACTCTGAGAAGAATGGGAATCCCAGAACATTTAATTGTGCTAATGCGAAACCTGTACTTGGATCAAGAGGCAGTAGTCAGAACAGAGCAGGGCAACACTGCATGGTTCAAAATTGGGAAGGGTGTACGCCAGGGATGTGTCCTGTCTCCATACCTTTTCAACCTGTATGCAGAGCAGATTATCCGAGAGGCGGGGCTCTATGAGGGGAGGCGTGGCATTAGGATTGGTGGACAATCTATCAACAATCTGCATTATGCAGTTTTCTTATTCCTGCTTGCTGAAACTGAGGAGGACCTCATGCACTTACTGCAGAGGGTCAAGGACTGCAGCCTTCAATATGGACTGAGGCTCAATGTCAAGAAGACAAAAATTCTCACCACTGGACCAATCTGTAGCATCAGGATGGATGGTGAAGAGATTGAGATTGTTCACATCTTCAGTTTGCTCAGCTCCACGATCAACACTCTTGGCACCAGTAGCCAGGAAATCAAAAAAACGTATTGCGATGGGAAAGTCTGTGGTTAGGGACCTCTCTAAAGTACTCAAGAGCAACAGTGTCTCTCTGGAGACTAAGGTGCGCCTGATACAGGCCATGGCTTTTGCAATCACTTGTTATGCATCAGAAAGTTGGACAATGACTAGGGAGGATAGAAGGAGAATTGACGCCTTTGAGCTGTGGTGCTGGAGAAGAGTACTGAATGTACCATGGACTGCCAAGAAAACAAATTCATCCTAGAGAGGATTAAACCAGACTGCTCCTTGGAGGCAAGGATTCTGGGGCTTCGTCTGACATACTTTGGACATGTTGTAAGGAGAGACAGGTCTTTGGAGAGGGACATCATGCTGGGCAGAGTGGAGGGACAGCGCAGGAGGGGAAGAGACCCGCTATGGGATGGATTGATTCAGTGACTGGGGTAATCGGGATGGATGTGTCAGAGGCAGTGAGCTTGGCACAGGATAGAGCAGGGTTTAGGGCTGTTGTACATAGGGTCGCTATGAGTCGCAAGCAACTCGACGGCACATAACAACAACAACTATATCCAGCAATAGGGAGCTCTGGTGGCCTAGTGGTAAGAACTTGTACTGCAAGTAAGTCCCATAGGTACACAGTTAAAATCCACAAACAGCTCTGTAGGAGAAAGATGAAAAATCTCCTCCCATGTGATTAGCTACCACTGGAGGCTTAGCTATGGGTCATTTCCAACTCGTCGGCTCACAGCCACAAACAACATACCCAACAATGTTCTTCTGTAGGGCAAGATTCTTCTGATCTGTTGTTCATGGAATCTCTGAGTTGTAGCTGACGTGGCACCCAACAGCAACAACATTACATTTATAAATGAAATGAAGAGTTTTGTGTGTGTGTGTGTGTGTGTGTGTGTGAGAGAGAGAGAGAGAGAGAGAGAGAGAGAGAGAGAACTTCTATATAATGTTTTTGCGTTACATCAAGTCAGAACTGAGTCATAAAACCTCCAGCAGCTTTTCAGAGGCAGTGCTTGATTAGGAAGAGAGAGCCCATCTTTCTCTTATGCAATAGGTAGTAGATTTGAACCACATGTCTTTGAGTTCATAACTCAACTTCTTACCACTAATCACCAGTGCTCTCCCTATTATATATAATAGTTTATATATGTACATTTGTTGTTATTATTGTTAGATGCTGTCCAGTCCAGTACAACTCATAGCACCTCAGTGAACAAAAGATCTGAACTCAGTCTTGTCCTGTGCTGTCTTCACACTTCCTGACATGCAAGGGGCCCTCAGGCCTGCTATTGATTGTGTTTGAAGAGAGCTTTGTTCTCAGTGATGCAGCACTTGTCTGTGGTTTGCTGTGCTGCAATTACTTGGGGTTTCTGTGATAATGAAATCCTGTGTGTCAAATTCCAACAGGGTTTTCCATCTTGGAAGGGTTTTGGTGAAGCTCGCTGATTAAGACAAACTAGAAAAGAGGATGGGCCATCTACTTCCTAAATAAAAGGCTTTTGAAAACCCTATGATATAGTTGTTGTTGTTGTTGATTGCCATCGACAACTCACAGCGACCCTATGAACCAAAGACCTGAAGTCTTTCTATGAGTATCGTCATTTCTCAAAGTTCATAGTGTTTCCAGAGGCATGTTATTTAGGAAGTGGACGCCACTTCTGTTTCCAATATAGATAGATAGGTAGATAGATAGATGTATAATAGTTGAGATTCTGAACTAGAGAGCCTAAACTCTTAGGATTTGGGGTTGCTTTGTGTGTGTGTGGTGGTTTGTTTTTTTTTTTTTTAAAAAAAGCACTACTTTTTTTAGAGGATACTGAAATAATGTAGTTACAATTCATGAGCATAGAGATGACTCACACTATTAGTAGCTTAGTTTATAGACCCGGTTTTCATGTAATTATCTAGAGCTGCTCAGTTATGAGTCTGTATTTAGATGAGTAGTTTTATAAAAAGAGTGGACCTTGATGGCCACAGTTTGCCTTTGTTGCATTATTTGCAAAGTGGACTTTAAAATAAAACAACAACAAACACCCAAACTTTGTGGGTTTTGCTGAAAGTTTATACAGCACATTAGGTTCCTGCTAAGTGAACTTGCATGATTTAATTTCGTTTTTTAAATGTAGCCCAAACTAACTACAGAGAAAATTATTGGTTTACTGTATTAATAAAATAGCAACATTTTAGGGAGAAGAGTTTGAGCCTTTTCTTTCATCTTTAAAATTTATTTTTTTTTTAATTTCTAATACTTTGCTGATATTTTTCTGCACAGTTGCCCTAGGACCAGAAAGAAGAAAATCTGACTCAGGAGTTATGTTGCCAACACTTAGGGTCTCCCTCATCCAAGACATGAGGTATTTGTTGTATACATTATCAATATATATTAATAACATTAATATATTTACTGTTTTCTCCTAAGTTACTGAAATAAGAATGATTATGTGTATTTTAAGCTTTTCTATTCTGGAGGAACTATTTTTTATATTTTTAATAATTTTATTTAACCTTTATATTGTTATATTTATTCTGTACATTAACTATAAAAGGGAGATGCAATAAAAGGTGTAAAAGTGTCTCTAAATTAGGACTCCTTTTTTAAAAAATTACCTGCTGCCCACAGATAGAGGAAATTTAAAAAACACCTACTTGGCAGAAAATGTGCTGTCAGGTAGATTTACCTTGAACTAAGTACAAATCTGAGAATTATCACTTCCAGTTACTGGTCTTAGAAATCTTTACAAGGCATTAAAACATCTAAAATAGATGTATTGAGTGAGAAAGGCAAAGTTTTTTTCTTTCAAAAACTTTAGGTATAATACTTAGCTCTTTTTTTTCTTCTTTTTCTTTTTAAATTACACTCTTTTATTTACAAAAGTCAAGTACATTGTTTTCCAGAACAGATTCTTCCAATTTCCCTCACACGCACCCCCCAAACAAATTGTACAACTCCATGATTAATTCCCCTGTCGCCCCGCACATCCTCATCCCACTGCTTCCATCCTCCCACCCTTTGGATCCTTAATACTCATTACACAATAATGGTTTTATACAATCTTTGTCCTTGTAGGACTGAGTTGGTGTTGAAATATCTGTAACACTTATAATTCTTTCTCTTATGGTGTGCTTTATTAATATTATTTATCCTATGTTGTGCTTATGAATATTAGTTGTGAATGTTGGTATGAGGTGTCACATACTTGCAGCTGAATGCAAGCTCTTGACTAGTCACGCAGCATGACGTGAACTATGACACCAGAGCTCCTGAAAACGTAGTTCTTACGAGAGGCACTACAGTTAATTACCACTTACTAGCTGTGTGAACCTAGGCCAATTTCACGAATTCAGATTTCTCAGATCTAATATAAGAAGATCTTGTTTCAAAGATAGTATTGAGAGTTAAATGAGTTAATCCATGTTAAAAGTTTAAAGAAATACCTGACTCATAGCAAGAATCCAGTAAATGTTGGTTGTCATTGTGGTGGTTGTTGTGTAAATTATAAATTTATATCTTAAATGTCATTCTTTAGTACATATTCCTTTATCTGGTATATGCTTCCTTTTAATGGTTAAGATATGAATAATAATTATAAGTGTGAAGAAAAAATCATATTTGGCTCTCTTAACTGACGCAGAAGCCAATTCGTATGTGTTCTGCAGTAATTGAAATTAAGGGGGGGAACAGCATATTTGTGTAGGCTCAGAGCATCTCCCCCCCCAAAAAAATTATTCATTTTCAAGGGAAAAATAGTAATTTTACTGTAGAGAAAGCCAGCAAACACCACTATAACCAAATAACAAAGACTAGCATTGCTAGTTAGAAGACATGTCAACAAGTGCCCTCCTGTATGGTATACGGAAAAGAGTATATCACTTCTTGCCGTAAAAGCATAATCTCATTATAATCATAAGAAATCATCATGGAAATGCAGCTTGAGAGACACTACCAGATGACTTGATCAGCTCATGCTGGAGATCCCCCTGCTTATGGACTGGGTACATATGAGTAAAGAAAATTTTAGCTTTAATGAAAAAGATGAGAAAATGAAACTGGAATTCAGTGTTCATTTTACACCAAGCCATTAAAAACACAGTGTGCTCCCTGATCAGCGAGAGTGGCACCACACAGCTCCTTCCCCGAGAACTACATGCAGCATCTTGGCATCATCCTGCCATGACTTTGAACTGTCTGTAAAATATGTGTTAATGTTAGTTTAAGTTTTATGTGTTATTTAGTAAGAATTGATATGTTTTAGGTCTAGGAACACTCAGATTTTCCCGTTATAAGTTGATGGTAATGATTTCTTCATTTTATGTCATCTCAATTTATGACAACTTTCATAAGAACACTCTTCTTTTCGGATAGGAAAAAAACAAACAAAACACTCTTTGTTCTGATTCATTTGTGGTCACTCAGACCCTCTATGACAGAATCTGGCACATAATTAACATTCAAGAAATATTTGTTAACTGTACAGCTACGATGTTTTAAGCTCCCTGTGAGTATGTCTGTCTGTTTGTATGAACATGTGTTTGCATGTATCCTGATATCCGACTATTGAATTGTGTTGGGTATAGTTTGAAAGCTTTGGAAAGATGGCAGCTGTTGAGCTACTTGTTATTAATATTATTAGAGTAAGATTATGCATGAAGCTTAAAGACATTATGCTGAGCAAAATAACCCAATTACTAAAGGATAACCATTTTATGACCTTAAACAAAACAAAAAACAAAAAGGCAAATATTTGGTTTATTGGTGGTTATCAAAAGTGCAAGAGAAAAAGGGAAAATTAATGTGATAGGAAAATCACATTGATTAAAGATTGTTTACATAGACAATTACTGTAACTGCTGTCAGTACGTTGTGTGCTTGTAAAAAGTTGATTTGCTAAATGTTCCATGGTAAATATAGTTACAACATGACAAAAAGAAGGAATAGCTATTGAGGCTGCTTATCTACAGTCAAACCCTCATGAGATTTAGCTCATTGATTTGGAAGTTCAGCATCACGGTTTCATTGAATATCCCAGGTAATTGGCCTAATTGCTGCCTTAGAACTTCTGTTCTACTCCCTTGTTCATTGTGTAGCAGCTGGGTTGTTTTTTTTTTAAGTTTTCAAGTGCCCATGTAACCACAATAATTAGTCTCTACTCACTTGTAGCATCAGAGAAAGAAGGAGAGACAGGAGCAGAGTAAGAGAATATGGAAAGGGTGAATAATTATCTCCATAAACAGCTGCTTTCTTTTTTATGAGAATAGAATAATTGGTTGATGCCCAGCTACTATTAGTAAACATTTAATCAAAGATGCCGTAAGAGAATCTTGATCAAAAGGAATAAAATGCAGAACAGAATTTCAAATCCTCATGGACTCCAGATATTGTGATGGATAAACCCCTGAACCTAGTAACCTGAGATAATCTTTTTTTAAAAAAAATTTTATTTTAGTAAGGGAGCTCTGGTGGCCTAGGGGCAAGAAGCTGCACTGCAATCCCAGAAGTACATGGTTTGAATCCACCAGTTGCTCTGCAGGAGAAGGAGGGACAATCTCCTCCTGTGCCAGTCAGATCCGATTTGACAGTAAACGCAGAAAAAATAATAAAATTTTTTTAAATGTTTAAAAAAGGGGAGTTCTGGTGGCCTAGTGGCAAGGAGCTGCAACTACAATCCTAGAGGCACACGGTTCGAATCCACCAGATGCTCTGCCGGGAAAAGGAGGGACAGTCTCCTCCTGTACCAGTCAGATCTGATTTGACGGTACACTCACACAAAAATAAAATAAAATTTTAAAAAATGTTTAAAAAAATTTTATTTTGGCGAGCTCTGGTGGCCTGGTGGCAAGAAGTTGCACTGCAATTCCAGAGGTATGCAGTTCAAATCCACCAGATGCTCTGCTGAAGAAGGAGGGACAATCTCCTCCTGTACCAATCAGATCTGATTTGACGGTACACACTAAAATATATAGAAATAGAAAAAAATTGTAAAAAAATTTTATTTTATTAATTGTAATGAACATTTACAGAGATTTTAGATTTCCATTCATTCATTGCTGCATTTTTCTCCCTGTCCACCCCTCCCCCTCAGTTCACTCCTTTCTTTGAAAAGTAAAAGAAAAATGTTTCATTGGTATACAGTCCTCCACCCCCACCCCCAACGCCCCAAGTACACTCCACTATGCAACCTTCATTCTGGACTCTTGTGATAACCATAATACCCTATCATATATTGCTTTTAAATTGTTCTCTCCCTCATTTGTTTCAATGCAATATACATAATTCATCCAGTTTTTCTCAGTCTTATCCCAACCCTGATGTCAGTCCCATTTTACAACAGTGGCACCATGCACTATTTGTCCTTTTGTGACTGAGATATTTAACTCAGCATAATGTCCTTCAGGGTCATGCATTTTGAATACTACTGCATGAGTTCCTTTTTTTTCAATCCAGCATAATATTCCATTGTGGGAATATACCACAGCTTCTCTATCTATTCGTTTGTTGATGGGCCCTTGGGTTGTTTCCAACTCCTTGCTACTGTGAAAAAACCTGTGATAAACATAGGTGTGCGTATATCGGCTTGGATGTCAGTTATGGTCTCTTTAGGGTATATACCCAGTATTGGAATTGCTGGGTCAGATGGTAGCTCTATTTGCAACTTTTTGAGAAAGCGCCACAACACATTCCACAGTGTTTGCACCATTTTACACTTCCACCAACAGTGCATAAGGGTTCCAGGTTCTCCACAACCTTTCCAGCATTTGTTGCTTGCTGTTCTGTTAAATTTTGCTATTCT